CAGAGGCAAGTGGGCAAGTGGTAAGCCCAACTGCACTAAGTCGGCAATGCGACTGCATCGAGTCAGCAATGCAACCCCGTGCAGTCAGCGGTACGCTTCCAGTCAGTCGCAGTCCAGTCAAGCAAGTACCATGAGGGACTGTGCGCACCATGGGCCCGGTGGAAAGGGGGAAGATCAACGAGTTACAGAAGTATAAATCAAGAGGCAGCGCCCAGCCATGTTTGTGTTATGCGCCCGTCAGGTCCGTGTGCAAATTTGCTTGGCCTTTTGCAATTCCACCTACTAAAACTTGGTGCCTGCCGGCCCATTTTGCGAAGTTCGGCAGCGTCCACCAGGGGTACATTGCAAAGATTGGGTCCAACTGATGGCTGGGGTGTTTCGCAAAATGTTTTCGCCTTCATCCTTCGCCACTTGTATATTTAAAAAACAAAAAGGGGAAAGTGTGTTTATGTCACGTTTGAGTTTGGAAAGGGGAGGAGAAAACAGGGAACGACAATGAAGACATGGCTGCAGTTGGAACAGGCTAGAAATAACGAGAGGGCAATGGCTGCAATTCGAAAAGGCCGTCCCAGGCATCAACCAGGCCACGCCAGGCCGTCCCAGGGCACAACTAGTCATGTCCCACGCCTCTTTTTTTTTTTCTTTTTTTTTTTATAAACAAGCTCCATCTATTGGTGGGGAGCAGCACCTGCTGGAAACCGGGTCCAGCGTCCCATAGATACAACCATATCTCACAAATTGGCACAAACTGGGAACCGGGCCCAACGTCCCATAACGAGTGCGTTCAGAAAACTCATCAGAAAATTTCATGAAAATGAGACAAGGAACTACTAGAAATTTCTAATTGGCCTAAGGATGGAATTTTGAAAATTGAGATACCGGGGCCATTACCTGGCTTTGGCTCAGAGAGATTGGAATTACTTCAGACATGTCCACGACAACTTCATGATTAAGCAAAATTAAGCAACGACTCAGAAAACCCCCCATCAATCCACTTTACCTCACTCCGGCAAGACTGACTGCAGCGGAGCCACCATCTCTGCTGCTGCTATGCCATGCTCCCATCCTAGCAGCTGGCCCCCTCACTGGTAGGACGCGCTCACTGGTAGGACGCGTGATAACCCACCATCTTCTCCCACTCACCTTATTCTCTTTTTGAGGTACCTAAGAACTCTTACGGTCGTTCAAGAAGCATGAGAATAGGCCACAGAGGTCCTACGATTGTTCCAAAAACCTCGAAATCCCACGCAAACCCTTCCAACGTTCTCCAAAACTGTCCTACTCCTTGCCGATCTCTTCTAGGTCTCACACCCCCACTTTCTGCTGGGTTACAAGGCAACGCAACTCACCCCAGCTCCGAACAACGTCGTCCCGGCAGCAACCCTTGGTTGTCCCGTGGAAAGCCCACCCCAAGACATCCCCAGATCTCTCTACCATACCTCACGCTCCTGCATCACAGGTTACAGGGCAACACCCCAGCACCGGTCAACGTCGTTCTGGCATCGAACAACCGCAGATCACTGAGTATAACAACATTGAAGCTACCTAAGATGAGTCAGTAGGGATCCCAGAGTCCTAAAAAACATTCCTGGGATCACTAAGCACCCAACTCTTTTTGGAACATTCGAAAAGCTTTAGAAAAAAATAAGAGTTACTCACTTTCCAACAGATGGGGCGTTGGTCCAAGCTTCCTGTCCTCGTACCAGAACTCACTTGATCTCATACCCCCTTCTGCTAAGGTAACAAGGCTCCACAGCCTTCCCCAGTACCGATCAACCTAGCTCTGACGGACAGGAAGTGCCTTCTTCCCTCGACAATTCCCTTAGCAGCGAGCCCCCTAAGCGGGTTACAGGGTCAATACCCCGGCGCCAACTACGTCGGACGATCTGGTTATGCCTTCCACCCTCGGCATAACTTCACAGGCCTCAAGCTCTCCCTGTGTTACAGAGCAGAGGCTCCAGCACCAACCTGTGTCGTCCCAACATCGTCCTTCTAACCTACTTACCCTAAGCAACAACCTTTTTCTGTTGAAAATCCCCTTGCTGCCTTCCTTCCTTTAATTCTAGCCTCCCGCCCCCTTCGGCTCACTGTGTAGCCATCGAAGTCACTCCTTCCCTCAAAAAACAAAATCCTAACACTCTGCTATAAGAAGCCACCCCTTGCCTTCTCTCCCCACCCGCCTGTACTGATCCGACCCGAAATCAGTCTGGCTTAGAGACGACAATCCCCCAATACCGCCTCCCCCCTCCAAGAATAACACCTCCCACCTTGTGAAACCCTCACGGGGGGAGACTCCAACCTTCAAGGAAGACCCCACAGATATACACAGCAAGCCACAATTATACCACTCAGACCAGGAGGTTGAGATTAATTTTTTTTTTAAATTACTTCAAAAGCCTACTTTTAGGCATCGGAGATCGGAGACGAATTTGCAAAATCTGCTGCAACATCTTTTAGAGAAATTTAGAGTCTAAGCTTTTTTTTTTTTTTTTAATGGTTTAAGAAATCTATCTCAGATGTCCATTTTTGGACTACGAATATCAAAAATCAAGAAAAAAATCCAGACCATAGATAAGATCAATGATTAAAGAAAACTACTAAATGGCAAAATTCACGAGAAATTATATGAAATTTAGGTTTAGATATCCATAAAGGATTTACGAATCAGATTCCCAAACCACGGTTTGAGAATCGTTTAGCAAAGATGTATGGCACGTGTTAGTTTAAGAAATTGTTTTCAAGAAACCAGGTTATCAGATGGAACCACCAAATAGGAAACACTGAATCAGATCGTCATCATTTGAAAGAATATCAAGAGTAATACACCCAATCAGAAGACACTAAATTAGATCGCCATCATCAAGGATTACGACATAGGAAAGACAAACAAGTAGCACAAAGTCAAGTCGACTATCATGAAACAACCAATTGAAATAAAAAAACACTATTAAACACTATTTAGACACGAAGCTCTGAGAATACTATGGGAATTTTGAGCAGTACTTTTGAGCAGTACGTAGGATGATGACTTCGACAAGTTGCTGAAAGCCAAGCTCCATCGCCTCGTGAAGATGCCTTGAACTGCGTGAAATCACCAAACCCTGCAAAACACCACGAGACGCTCCCCTCCCTCCATCCCCTGATCCAACTGCCAGACCGCAAACCCGACCAAACTCATCCCCTTCCTCTTCTTGCGAGAGAAGCACCTTCTCCTCCCCATAGCCAGTGCTGGTGCAGTCCCTTCGCGAAGTGCACTGGCCAGAAGAGATTACTAGGACACCACCGCCTCTCTAAAACTTCTTGAGGGCGATTGTGTTGTGAGGGACCGCGTCAAGCCTGTCAACGCGGCCTCACAAAGAATTCAATCTATGAACAACGATATTCAGACAGCTGGGTTAGACGAAGCAAGAGACAGAGAGATAGAGGCAGAGATAGGAGAAGAGAAAACCGAGGACCCTCATAGCCCTTCCTCTCATCGATATACTTGCTCAATCTTCTTTCCACTATAACTCCAACAACCCACTGTCCTCCCCACCATACACTGTCTCTCCCTTTCCCCTCATGACCTCCACCACATACAACGCGCCATCGCCACCCTTCGCTAAGCTGTCACGCTCACGCGGCTTTCACCCCAACGCGCCTCTGCTCACCGTTGCCTCGGCCCAGGCGGGGCGCAGCGCTCCCGGTAGCGCTGCGCCCATAAGCGGTTAACAGGGACCCCCACTTTTCGGCCCTTTCTACGATGAATGATCCTGAATGATCCTGAATTTAGGGTTTTTTTGTGTTTTTAATTTTTTTTTTTTTCTGCCTGTTTTTTTATTTGGACAAGCTTTGTGTGTTTCAAATTTGATGTCATTTGGAGTATTAGAATTTGTGTTGTGAAGAGTGGTGAAAATTGTGAAAATTTGATGACAGTTTTTTTGCCAAAATTTCATGAAAATGCACTTTTGGCTTGCTGTTTTTTTGCCAAAATTTCATGAAAATTTGATGACAGTTTTTTTGCCAAAATTTCATGAATTTGTGTTGTGAAGAGTGGTGAAAATTGTGAAAATTTGATGACAGTTTTTTTTTCTGCCTGTTTTTTTATTTGGACAAGCTTTCTGTGTGTCAAATTTGATGTCATTTGGAGTATTAGAATTTGTGTTGTGAAGAGTGGTGATAATTGTGAAAATTTGATGACAGTTTTTTGCCAAAATTTCATGAAAATGCACTTTTGGCTTGCTGTTTTATATGTTTTTAATTTTTGTTTTTTTGTTTTGTTTTTATAATATGTTACTAAGAAGTGCACTCTATACATCGGTATGAAGTTTGCTTAAAATGGCCTTATGGTTTTCTTATAAATTGAGGTGAAAAATGGGGGGCCGGTTAACCTCTTCTCGCTGCGCCCCACTTCCAAACACGCCCAGATTCGGTTCTTGATTCAGCTCGGGGCTACTCTTAGAGCCACGTAGTAGAAAGGCCGTGCAGACCCACAGCCAAGTAATGTCGTCAGGTCCCACGCCTGAACCCAGCCGAATTCGAAATCGGAGACTAAAAAAAGCCAAAAAAAAAGCAACGAATAATGAGGGTTGTATACATTATCAGGGTGCATTATGTTTGGGGGAAGATGGTAGCTATGGACCACGTACATGCAAGCAGACAGACACACACACACACACACACCATGGTAACCCCGGACCCGGACACCGGACACTTCCGGACTGTCTTCCGGACCAATGTCTGGACCGGTCCGGACTGTCCGGTGATCCGGACATCACTGGACAGTCCGGACCGGTCCCCAGGGTGCAAAAATGTCTGGACCAAAAAAAAAAAAAAAAAACAGGGG